TTTAATCATGATTAACATCATTTCTTGCAAAAGATTAGATGTGTTCTTCATGATTAGTGAGTAGTCATCTTTTAAGCTTCTAGGTGTGTAGATTAGGGTGCTTAGATGTTTGATTTATAATGTTTAGGGGCTAGATTCTCATTTCATTTCCTTAGTTAGCTGTTCCTAATGCTAGATCTTTGCACATCACTCTGGTCTAGAGCTTAGGCAAATCTCCACCCACAAGGTGTTTGATGAAATGCCTGAATGAAAGCTAACTAAGGGTTTATGCATTAATGCCATGGGAATGTTTGTTAATTGCATAAATGACATATTAGAACTGTTTCTTAATGCTCATTAGTTCATATTTCACAAATGGGAATTTGGTTTGAAAGTGGATTAGTATAGAGATTAATGCCTTCATGAAAGGATTAGTCTATATTAGAGTTCTAAGTTGAAATGTTTGAGATCATGTGATTGCTTGCTATGTCTTTCTGTGTAAGATTCAGTCTTCTTGGTTGAGAGATTGTTTGGTCACTTATTAGGCTTGATGCATTATGCTTGTTGATTGCTTGATTATATCTTATGGTTGTTAGACTTGATTAAGTGATTAGCAAAGGGATTATTGTCATGGGAATGAATTAATCTGCTTTTGAAGTCTAGACTAAAGAGTAACTTGCATTGCATTATTGTTCTTAGCATCATGAATTGATATCTACAGCACCCTAATAAATGATCACATCTTGACTTTTAGCTTTTATCATTTGCTTAATCATCATCACTTTGTTTTGTTTGCTTGCTTTGTTTAGTTCATTCATCATAGCTTGCTTGTTTCTTGTTTATGTTTTCACTTGTTACTTGTCACCAAACCTTTCTTATTTAACTTGACTTAAGAACTTGTCACATAAACTAGTGCCTAACTACCACACATTTGGATTGATACCCTTTGTACTGCAAGTGACATAAGGGATTGATAACCCATCTAAGACCTGAAAAACCTTAGTTATCATACATTGGCAAGGAGATAAACCCGAGAGTGGACTATGCAAGACGTTTTAAGAAGCTGAACATCAAACCCACGCCTTGCATTGATTATCATACACTTGAGATGCTTGGAATCTGAGAAGATGTAATCTGGTACATCGATGCACTTAAGCTGAGAACCTACATGGAGCTGAACCTTCCGACTTATCATGAGCTAGTCCGCGAGTTCTTTAGCAACTATTACACTCCACCACACGAAGAGGAGGAACCCTAGAGCATCAGATGGCATCTTGTCATTCTCTATCCGCGGACAGCCTTACTCGCTCACCATTTCTGAACTTTGTGAGGCTCTTAAGCTTCCATACACCGATGGCATTTACCTTGAAGATGAACCCGATTTTAACTTGTTGAGAGAGATGGGTCATGGAGTCTATGATAGCGGGAGATCCAAGTCAGCCCTTCTTACTCATCCAGCAGTGAGAGTTGTGCACAAACTCTTAGCACACACGATTTTCTCTAGAGCCAACATGGGATGTGTTTTGAAGACCGAGCTCATTACACTTCAGATGCCATTTATGGACGACCCACGACTTTCCTGTTTTGCCTGGATCATAGCACAGAACATGGTAAAGGTGAAGCATGATTTACATGGTTGCGAGGACGCTACTCCAGCTTACGGGAGCGCTATTACAGTGATACTACAGGCTGTAGGATTCGATTTCTCATCTGATGATCCACTTCCCGATGTCTGGTATGACCTACTTTATCTCTCTCGCGATCACACTATCTCTCGTGCCGCTTTCGATCCAGACAGGTTTGGTTACAAGTATTTGATATGTTCATAATTTGCATCATTTAGGTTGCATAAATCATTCCAAATCATGTTTTATTTCATGCATTTTAGGTCCTTAGGGTTTGTTTTAGAACTTAGGAGATGCATTAGGTCCCAATGAGTCTTTGCATGTTTTGAGTGTCTATCAGGTGAATATGGAACTGAAAAGATGAGTCCAGGAGGTGGAATGGTGAGCAAAGCTTGAAAAAGTGGAAAAATCAGGTCTTGGGAGATTATCGGCCATTCTCGCTGGCCAGGAAGGTTTTACCGGCCATTTTCATGTACCGCGGGAAGCTTTACCGGCCATTTTCACGTACCGCGAATGAAGTGTATCGGCCAAAATCTCCGGGTGTGAACGAGTCTCAGAAATCGCCCGTCCGGGGAGCCTTCCGGTCCGATTCAGACGGCGGGTCCTTCATAGAAGTTGGAGAAAATTGGAGCACGGTCTCATAGCAATTGGAATCGTGGAATTCGGACGCGTGAGCAGAGAGATAAGCTCGTCGGAAGAAACCCCTGTCTCGCAGGTATTCCGGACCGAGCAGATCAGTTCTGAAGGATGCGAAGGACGGTGCACTTCCAGACCGATTCAGTTTCCGCGGCCTTCATGAGAATCAGAGACATTTGAGTCTTCTTTCCAGAACAACCGAGATCAGTCAATTCGGAGCTTTGAGCAGAAAGATACGGTCTCCGGAATGGACACATGTCTAGACGCTTCTCTCTGGTCGTGTAAATGCACTTCAAAGATGTTCCCTCCAGGAAACCTTACACTTCCCAAGCACTGAAACTTCCTTCATCAAAGTTGGAGATAAATGAGTCCTCTGTCTTCTGAAACCGGAATCACTCAATTCGGACAGGTCTCCAGGAAGTTACACTCTCCGGAATGCGAGATGGTCCAGACAGCCCAGGATGACTAAGTTAAACATGCCACGGTATGAAGCTTGGCCGTGGCAACATCTTGCAACCTTCGGCGATTGGCACGAGCTGAATGCCACGATCTAGGACTTGACCGTGGCAAATGAACAAGAGGCTGGAGATAACTTCTGCACAGTTTCGGCTTTTGACACGATCTCAATGCCACGGCCTGAGACTTGGCCGTGGCAAGCATATACTTGGCTGGGAAGGTACTCACATGCATGCGAGTTTTGGCACGGTGTGAATGCCACGGTCTGGAGGCTTGACCGTGGCAACCTCTACACATCTTCGGCGTTTGACACGGCTAACTTGCCACGAGTCCCAGATGAAGCTTGATCAGACCGCGGCAACAAAAGGAACCAAGAACACAAGTAAAAACTTTGACACGGTCAGGAATGCCACGGTCACACCAAGGATGCACCAGACCGTGGCAAACCCTTCTTTGCCCATCAAGGCCGGGTCAGTACCCGGTTTGTTCCGGGTTGACCCGGTTCGCCCAAGCTTCTTTTATAAGGTTTTTAGACCTAATTTGTGGAGGAATTGAATCTACTTTTAGTCTTTTTTTCCCCCTTTTGTGAAAAACCACTTAATACACTTTGTTTTAGAGAGTTTAAATCGATTTGCAGTTTCTTTCCATCTTGTTCATCATTTCTATTCATCAAAATCAACTTCTAATCATGATTAACAACACATTTTGCAAAGGATCTAGTGTGTTGATCATGATTAGTGAGTAGTTACCTTAATGAGATTCTAGATGTGTAGGTTAGGGAGCTAAAGTGTTAGATTAGGAGTGCTTAGGGCTAGATTCATTGGTTCATTTCTCTAAACAACTGTTCTCTATGCTAGATCCTTGATAATCACTTGAAATCTAGATTCTGGGAATTTCATGCACCAAAAGTGTTTGATGAAATTCCTGAAAGAGTTGTGTTAGAGGTTTAAGTAATTTTTCATCATGGGAATGATTTGTTAAATGCTTGAATGATCATTGAGAACTGTTTATTAATGCATATTGATTCATATTTCACAAATGGGAATTTGGTTTGAAAATGGATTAGTATAGGGGTTAATTCCTTCATGAGAGGATTAACCTAGATTAGAGTTCTTAATCACTTGAATCATGTCTCATCATTGTCATTAGCATTTCTAGTTTAACACTAAAGCACCCTAACCAACTATCATGTCTAGAATCTCATGCCTCCATCATATCTTATTCACACCATTTGTCATTGTCATTAGTCTTTAATCCTGTTTATGTTTATATTTGTCTCTAGATTAATCAAAACCCACTCTTGTTTGCTTGAATTAAGAACTTGATCATATAGCTTAGTGTCTAACACCACATCTGGATTGATAAACCTCTTTGTGCTACATTGACAAGGGGATTGATAGCCCTGAGACCCTAGAAAGTCTTGTCTATCAATTGGCGCCGTTGCCAAATTGTGGTTTGATTAGCATTAAGCTCTGATCTGTTCTTGAGATCAAGTGCTTACTTTCTTGTTTTTACTGATTCCTTTCAAGTTCTGTTTGTGATTTCAGGTGTATGAACACCAGGTCTAGATCAAGAAGCTGTGGTCCTCCTTTTCCTCTAAACGACAACATCAACCTTTTGGTACCAAGGAGGAGAAGAGACAGACGTGGTAGACAAATTGATCAGACTGAGATGGCAGAACAAGGAGATCACGTGGTAGATATAGAACAACCAGTTCAGGAGCAACAGGCTCAAGGTCATGGAGCTGGTATTGGAGTTGGTCAAGGGCTTCACCAGGGTAATGTTCAGCAGGAACAGGTGCACCATCAACAAGCTTATGTCCACCAGGGACAAGCCCAAGCTCATCAACAGAGGCATCAGGCCAATGTTCAGCAAAGACACCAGGTGCACCACCAACCCCACCATTTCCAACCACAGCAAAGAAGATATGAGCAACCCCAAGTCTATGTTGGAGAGAATGACAGGGCCAATGCTCATCAGTATGGAGCTGGTATTCAGGCACCACCTGTGCAAAACAACAACTTTGAAGTGAAGGCATCTTTGCTGAATATGGTCCAGAACTCAAAGTTCCATGGGTTAGCAATGGAAGATCCATTGGAACACCTGGACCAGTTTGATAAGGTGTGTGATCTGACCAAGATAAATGGAGTTTCAGAAGACAGCTTTAAGCTAAGACTATTCCCATTCAGTCTTGGTGACAAAGCTCATCAATGGGAGAAAAATCTTCCAAGAGGCTCCATTCAAACCTGGGAGCAATGCAAGCAAGCCTTCTTATCTAAGTTCTTCTCCACCTCAAGAACTGCAAAACTGAGGAACCAAATCTCCAGCTTCACTCAGCACAGCAATGAAAGTTTTGGTGAAGCATATGAGAGAGATTCAGGAGCTACACAAACCAATGCCCACACCATGGGTTTAGTGAAGCTTCTCTCCTCAGCACACTCTATAGAGGAGCTCTTCCCAAGATTAGAAACCAACTGGATACTGCTTCAAATGGGAACTTCCTGGGTAAAGAGATACATGCTGCTTTAGAGCTAGTGGAGAACTTAGCATTGAGCAATGACACTTATGGTGAAGACTATGACAGGTCAAATAGGAATGAAGGTTCAAGCTCAGAACAGAGGCTCACCAGAGAAGTAAAGGAATTGAGAAGTGGATTAGACAAGTTGAAGCTGGTAACTCACAAGCCAATGCATTTTGTTGGAGAGTATGAGGAACCATCTCAAGTCTTTTGATATATTCATAAATTGCATCATTTAATGTACATATTCTAGTCAAAATCATGTCTCATTTGCATGCATTTTAGGTCTTTAGGCATTGTTTTAGGACTTAGGAGATTGCATTAGGTCCAAGAGAGTTTTGCATGTTTTGGAGTGTTAAACAGGTGCTTTTGGAGCCAATTTGGAGTGGATGATGTGATTCAGATGAAGAAATGGAGTTGGAATGATCAAAAATGGTGAAAAGGAGCGATTTTGGGTTTCTCGGCAAAATGGTGTACTGAAGGTCGAAGGTTCTCGACCAAAATCCTTCCCGCGGGTAGCTTTCTCGGCCAAAAACACGTACCGCGGTCAAGTCTCTCGGCCAAAATCTCCGGGTGCAGACACGTTTCCGAAATCGCCTGTCCGGGGAACCTTCCGGTCAGATTTAGCTGTCGGAGTCTTCATAAAAGTTGGAGATAATTGAGTCAAGAGTTCATAACAGTTGGAATCAAGGAATTTGGACCACGGAGCTGAAAGATATTGTAATCGTAAGACGAACAGGTCTCGCACTCATTCCAGAGCAATCCGATATTCCTGAATGATCGCCTGTCTGGGGAACCTTCCGGTCCGATTCAGATGTCGGGTGCTTCATAGAGGTTGGAGAGGATTGGATTACGGTCTCATAGAAAGTGGAATCGTGGAATTCGGACGCGTGAGCAGAGAGTTAAGCTCGTCGGAAGGAACCCCTGTCTCGCAGCTGTTCCGGACCAAGCAGATCAGTTCTGAAGAATGCGAAGGACGGTGTACTTCCAGGCCGATTCAGTTTCCGGGGTCTTCATGATAATCAGAGACAATTGAGTCTTCTTTCCAGAACGTCCAAGATCATTCGATTCGGAGCTATGAGCAGGAAGATACGGTCTCCGGAATGGACACATGTCTAGACGCCTCTCTCTGGTCGTGTAAATGCACTGCAAAGATGTGCCCTCCAGGAAGCCTTCCACTTCCCAAGCACCGTGGCTTCCTTCACCAAAGTTGGGGATAAATGAGCCCTCTGTCATCTGCAACCAAAATCACTCAATTCGGACAATTATCTTAGAAGTTACACTCTCCGGAATACGAAGTGGTCCAAGCTGCTCTGAATGCTGCGAGATGGTCTTGCGACTTGGTTAACTCGCAAGCCAGAAGACGAATGCCTGGAAATTGATGCTGCGAGTTGAGAAGTGCGGGTAAGCTATCAATGGATGAGGTCTGAGGCTCCCGAGCAAGAAAATTGCTAAGTCCACAATACTGCGACTTGGGCATGCTACCTGGGAGACACTGGAACCAAGCCGCATGATCATTCGCAATTTACTCCGACTTGAGCCTGCGACCTGGGACTAGGGATGACCAAGTCGCACATATACATTCCCCAGAAACCTCCTTGGTCCTGCGAGTTGAAGAAGAAGAAGATTAAGCCGCAGCAAGACTCGCAAAACACTCCTACTTGGGCGTGCGGCTAAGACAAAGCGATTTAAGTCTCACAAGACAAGTTCTTCATTTACTGCGACTTGGGCGTGCTACCTGGGAGACACTGGACCAACCCGCAGTAATTCCACTTTACCCACTAAAGCCGGGTCAGGACCCGGTTTGTTCCGGGCTGACCCGGTTCATTAGCACTTAGTATATATAGCTTTTTGGAGAAAAACCCTAGGGAGGTTATCTTCTACTTAGTTTTCTCTCTAGTTTTCTTTCCTTTTGAGGGTAAAAACGTTTTTGATTAAGAGATATCTGAAGGGATTTGATCATTCCAAGTCTGTTTCTTATCATCTCATCATCTCATTTCTACTTCTAATCATGATTAACATCATCTCTTGCAAAAGATTAGATGTGTTCTTCATGATTAGTGAGTAATCATCTTTTAAACTTCTAGGTGTGTAGATGAGGGTGCTTAGATGTTTGATTGGTGATGTTTAGGGTTTAGATTCTCATTCCATTTCCTTAGTTAGTTGCTCCTAATGCCAGATTTCCTTGGGAAAGTGAAATCTGGGTTCATAGGCATTTCATGCACCAAAAGTGTTTGATGAAATGCCTGAATGAGCTAACTTAAGGGTTTATGCCTTTTTCATCATGGGAATGATTTGTTAAATGCATGAATGACTTATTAGAACTGTTTCTTAATGCTCATTGATTCATATTTCACAAATGATGATTTGGTTTGAAAGTGGATTAGTGTAGAGATTAATGCCTTCATGAGAGGATTAGTCTAGATTAGAGTTCTAAGTTGAAATGTTTGAGATCATGTGATTGCTTGTTATGTCTTTCTGTATAAGATTCAGTCTTCTTGGTTGAGAGATTGTTTGGTCACTTATTAGGCTTGATGCATTATGCTTGCTGATTGCTTGATTATATCTAATGGTTGTTAGACTTGATTAAGTGATTTGCAAAGGGATTATTGTCATGGGAATGAATTAATCTGATTAAGAAGCCTAGACTAAAGAGTAGCAAGTGTTGCATTATGTTCTTAGCATCATGATTCAATATCTAAAGCACCCTAATCAATGATCACATCTAGAGGTTTAGCTTTTATCATTTGCTTAATCACCATCATCTTGTTTTGTTTGCTTGCTTAGTTCATTAATCATAGCTTGTTTGTTTCTTGTTTTATGCTTTCTTGTTGCTGGTTTCACAAAACTCATCTTTGATTACTTGACTTAAGAACCTATCACATAAACTAGTGCCTAACTACCACACATATGGATTGACACCCCTTATACTACTTTGACAAGGGGATTGATAACCCATCTAAGGCTTTAAAAACCTTAGTTATCAATTGGCGCCGTTGCCATATTGTGTGGGGATTGTTAGCATTAGTTTCTGATATAGTTTTTGAGATCAAGTTTATTTTGTTTTACTGATCACCTTTCAAGCTCTGTCTTTGTTTTCAGGTTTATGATCACAAGAAGCCAAGCCAGAAGACAAAGAGAAAGAGCTGTTCACTTGGAGAGGTTAGGAATGAATCAGCAAGTTGGGAATGAGCATCAGGCTCAAGAAGCTGATCAAGGTCAAAGAGCTGGTAATGGGATTGGAATTCAGGCTCAACAGGCTCAGATCCATCAGGGACACGCTCAGGGTAACCAGAACCAAGACCGACCTCAGGTTAATCCACCACAGCCCCACCCAAACCCACCCATACGTCATCAGCCCCAACCAGTCTTTGTTGGTGAGAATGACCGAGCTTATGCACACCAGTATGGAGCAGGAATCAGGCCACCTCCTGTCCAAAACAACAACTTTGAGGTGAAGGCCTCTTTGATCAATATGGTTCAGAATCAGAAGTTCCATGGCTTACCTATGGAGGATCCCTTGGAGCATCTGGATCAGTTTGACAGAGTTTGTGATCTCACTAAGATCAATGGGGTATCTGAAGACAGTTTCAAACTGAGATTGTTCCCATTCAGCCTTGGAGATAAGGCACATCAGTGGGAAAAGAACCTCCCAAGAGGATCCATCCACACATGGGAGCAATGCAAGATTGCCTTTCTATCCAAGTTCTTCTCAAGCTCAAGGACTGCAAAGCTAAGGAACCAGATTTCCAGCTTCACTCAACATTCTAATGAGACCTTTGGAGAAGCTTTGGACAGGTTTAGAAGCTACACAAATAAGTGTCCACATCATGGCTTTCCAGAAGCCTCTCTCCTTAGCACTTTGTATAGAGGAACTGTTCCTAAGATCAGGATTCAGTTGGACACAGCATCAAATGGAAATTTCTTGGCAAAAGAAATCAATGCAGCTATGGAACTTGTTGAGAACTTAGCCATGAGCCAAGACACTTATGGGGAAGATTATGATAGAAGCTATAGAGGAGAAGATTCTGGTAGACACCAAGAGCTGGAAGAGAAGTTTAAAGTGTTGAATATAAAGCTTGACAAAGCCCTAGCTGCCACTCAAAAGCCTATACACTATGTGAGTGAGGAGAAGAGATGCTTCACAAATATCAATGAAGAGGGTCTCACTCAAGAGGAGTTGCACTTCATTGGAAATCAAAACAAGTTCAATGGTTACAACAACTTCAACAACCACCAGAACTTGTCCTATAGGAGCAACAATGTGGCCAACCCCCAAGACCAAATATACCCTCCTCAAAGCTTTGTTCAACAGAATCAGTACCAAGGTAACTCCCAAGGTCAACAGGGTTTTCAGCAACCAGCGGTTCAGAATCAAGGGAATAGCTTCACAAATGAAGTCAGCCTACAGCCAAAGGCTCCACCTCCTAGTTTTGGCCCACCAACTGTTCAACAAAGTCCTGATTTCAATGTTCTTCTCCAACAGCTCTTATTAGGACAACAAAAGATGGTATCTGACCTGGAGACACTAGGTACTGAACTAAAGTCTATTAAAAAGAACAAGGGCATCTGCACTTCTGAACCACAAGTCTCTCTTCCTGGTAAAGCTCTTCAAAACTCAAAAGATTATTGCAATGCCATCTACTCCAATGAGGACTATTCAGCTGCTGTGCAAGAGATTGAAGACCTCCTTTATGGTCAAGTTTTTACTGAGAATGCACACACTCAAGTAGATGAGGACACCATTATAGATGATTTCATTGGCTTCTTACATGAACTCAATGAGGACATTGAGAGCAAAAGTGTGGGGGCAGCCGGTTCAGTTCTTTCTGTTCAGCAAGGGAATGATTCAGTGTCTATTGAAACAAAGGAGCATCCAACTGGTCAAGGAAAGC